ATATTCTGCTGATGACTTTTATGACCTTACTCACACTTCTGCTGATGCTGTGTTAGCAAGAACAGTTCATTCCAGTGAATATAATCTTAGCTCATGTGATTATGGACACAGATTTCTCTAAAACCTCTAAAATGGGATGCAATTTTTTAGAGTGCAGAATTGTTAGAAAGTCACAGGCTTTTAGGCAGTGCCATGATTTCAGGAGCCTGATTCAGAGTGTAAAGGACTCATGATGAAGCTGGGCGGCACTCAACATGAGTTCACTGATTCAACATACCTGTTTTTTTGTGGGAATTGGCATTTCTATCCAAGAAACAGGAAGCGCACTAATGGATTATTTGTCTGTTTTTTAGCTAAAGCCCCAGTTTAAATAATACCTCCAGCTTCAAGCACCAAATTTTAAGAAAGCTATAAGAAAAAAAAAGGTTTGGAAAAAGGAGCAATAGAACTACAAAGATGTCTAGTAAACAGAAGGGGAGGTTTGCGGTTTTGTTTTGTTTGGTTTTTTTTGTATATGAAAGGACTTGGGTTTAATTAGTCTAAATCGGGCTTTTATTTTCCCCTCTAAAAACAGGTTACAAAGTGGATCAGCACTCTGATATATTCCAAAGCTTAATTTGCTGATAAAACCCCTGAAGTTCAATTTCTGACCTTCTGTGTGTCTTTTCAGAAATTTACTTCTGTGTTGCTCCTCTGACTCCATCACTGATGAGCACAACTACTGCCAGCTCCTCAGGCTGGATATTTTTCCTTGGGGAAACCTGATTTAAAAGTCATGTTTATATCCAGTGGACAGGGCCTAAGGGTTTGTCTTCCCTACCTTTAGCCATCTAAACCCCAGGTGTATACATGTGGCTGGACATGTCTGTCCCCTGCAGTGACAGAGGAGAAATAGCAACAAAGAGCTTCTTCGCAGAGGGCAATTTCCAGATCACTGAACTTTGGTAAGTCCCGTCCTAACTCATCTCTGAGCATTTACTCTTGGGTTTTGCCTTCAGCTGGCTGATGACCCACTAAGCAACTGCGTGGCTTCATTATTTTGCTGTGCTCATGGAGATGCACCTCGCTGTCACCTCTGAGGCGTTTGGCATCATGGGGACTCCTTCACCAGTCCTTCCCATCCAGCTCTCTCTTCAGCCTCTGACACTCCCCATACCCTGCCTTGTACTCACATTTGTTTCCTCGCCTCTTCTCCTTCTGTAACACTTACATTCCTCTGCTTTGTTTTCGCTTTGCACTGACTGTATTTGCTTCTTATGAATCTCAGTTTTAACTCTGGCTGCAGCTTTCACTAATGCATTCACTGCACGGTGCCCCTCTGACAATGTTTTACTGCTTCCATGTCTTAGGGGAGTGAATGGGACAAGGGAAAAAAGCAATTTAAAGTGTAACTGGCTTGTTAGACATGCAAATTCTTGAACAAGAGGTATAATTTAAGTTCAGGAGCGTATAATTTAAGTTCAGGTATAATTTAAGCTAGGAGCGTTGGAGCTGTAACCCCACTTCTGACTCTGCCACTACCTCCCTCGGTGACCTTGTGTGATTTATTTAGCCTCTTGGGGCCAGGTTCACCTGAAAATAAAGAATAATGTGTTTCCTTCCCCTAGGAATATATAAGTCTGAACTAATAGATGTATATACAATTCTTGAAGTCCTGTTTATTTAAATGCAAAATGCTTATCTTTTTTTCCTTAAAACATTTACAAAAGGTCGAGAGAATTTTAGGGTTGAAAGATAAACAGTTCAGAAGAACTAGAAAAATTAAAATTACACACGTATGCACTTATCACAAACCTTTAGACAGCCTCTAATTAAGTAATCACTAGTTCTCTGCATTATAGTAGATGTTATCATAAGCTGTTAAATTGTGTAGCAGCTTGTAATACTGTGCACTCTGTTTATACAGGATAAGGATTCTGTGGAAATTATTCAGATTAATGTATCATCTTCTGAAATGTGTGCTTCAATTGTGCCTAGTCGGTCAGGATTGAGATGTTCCCATGCTCTGCTCTACAGAAGCCTGACAAGGGAGCACAGTTTCTTCCTGACAGGCCAAGATACAAACTTGGAGATGCCAAGCTGTATATTCAGACACACAAACCCTCTGTCCCTTGCTTTAGCAAGACTCGTTCGAGGTGCACATCCTTGGCAGTTCTTCCCAGCAACCAGCCTTCAGTGCAAGAAGGAAGCTCAGAAAAGGGTCTTCTCCCATGGTCTCCAGGACATTCCTTGAACTTTTATGTTCAGAGAAAAACTACCTTACCAAGCACCTGCAGGTGACCTCTCCTGCACTTGTCTTCCTCTCCCACATCTCCATGCCAGACCCATTTGCCTCAATGTTACCTTGTCTCAATTCTCCTCTAAAAAAAATTTTTGTCTTTGTGCTAGTCTTCCCTCCCGCTCTGATACTCAGCTCCAGAGCCACAGTTAACCTTGTACCCCTTGCTGCAGCCTTATTTGACACAGAGAGCTTGAGACCTCAGCTTGGCTGAGCTTTGCTTGGAGCATGGAGGAGAAAGTCTGGAGGCTGAAAGGGTGAAATAAATCTCCAGCAATAGCAATTAAGACCTGGTAAGATCTAAGAGATCATTTTACCGCACCAGAACTGCTGGCATTCACATACACTATCTCAGGGGTTGGGAGTCAGGTGATGCCACACTGGTATCCGGGGTTACCACAGGTGTCCACTTAAAATGGCTTATGCTGCCTGGAGAAGGCAGAGCTGAGGTTGGAGCGTGTTAATGAGCTTCAGTGCCATCTTCCTGACCAGCCTGCTCCTGAGTGGAACTCAGCAGAGCCTGAAAGCCCACAGTGTAAGGTGTATTACCTCTACCCCAACACTCTGCAATGCTGCAAGCACTTGGATAGTGAAATAGTAACAGATGGAAGGAGAAATTAAAAGGCGTTAGCAAGGAAATAAGCTGCTTTCATTTGAGATTTGAGCCAACAGACTAAAACTGTGTGATTCGGTAGGAAAACAGAGAAGTCGAAGAGCAGCCCAGGGAAAAAATTATCCTTGTATCAGTAATGAAAGTAGTTTAAAATAGGAACCTCACTTTAGGATTAGTAATGAGATTTTCAAACTTTCACTTTTGTATTATCATTTGTTGTTGAAACATGCCCAGTTGATTTGTCTGGAAATGAGTGAAATTAGTGTAGCAGCTGGTCTTGCCTCAGTGCACTTTTCCTACCACATCCCCATCGCACACGCTCCGGCGTCCCTGTCAGAGAATGCCACACACACCTCTGGTCATTCACACAGTGCCAGGCGTATGCCAAGGGCTGTGCGAGTCCATCAAACCTGGTGGAAACCTGCCAGCCGCAGTCTTCATAAGTTATTATCGGGGAGGGGAGGAGGCTCAGGGGTGACCTTGTCACTCTCCACAAGTACCCGAGAGGAGGCTGCGCCCAGGTGCGTGTTGGCTTCTTCTCACGGATAACCAGCGACAGGATAAGAGGACTTAGACTGCGCCAGAGGAGGTTTAGATTGGACATGAGGAGGAATTTCTCCACAGAAAGGGTGATTAGACATTGGAATGGCCTGCCCGGGGAGGTGTCGGGAGTCTGTGTCCCTGGAAGTGTTTAAGGCAAAACTGGGCGTGTCATTTGGTGCTTGCTGGTGTTCAGTCACAGGCTGGAGTCGACGATCTCAAAAGGTCTTTTCCAACCTTACGACTCTGCGATAAACGAAGCAACCCCTACGCCGCTCCCTCACGGCGGCCCCGCCTCAGAGCCCCCTCACGGCGCGGCCCCGCCCCTCCCCGCCCCCCGCGCCCGCCATGGCGGGGCCGCCCCGCGCGGGGTCGCTGTGCCGCCGGCGGGGCGCGCGCGGACGTGTCCGTTCCCACAATGCCCGGCGGGAGCGGCCGCCGCCGCCGTGCCCAGGTACGGCTCGCGCCCCCCGCGCCGTGAGGGGCGGGGGCGGCACCGGCACCGCGGGACACGGGGCCGGCACTGCCCGGCCCGGCCCGGCCCGGCTCACGCCGCCGCCTCCCCTCCCGCCTGCCCGCCCACCCGCCGCTGCCGGCCCCAGGCCCGGCTGCCGAGCCTCAAGGGCCAGCTGCGTTCGCGCCTCAGCCGCGGGGGATCGCGGCGCCGCTGTCACGGAGGGGTTGGTGGTGGCGGCGGGCAGGGCGGGCGCAGGAGGCGCCGGGGGCCGTTCGGGGCTCTTCGCAGGCGCCGCTGGGCAGCGAGAGCCGGGGCGGCGGGGCCGCGCCGCGCTCCGGGCTCGGCAGCAGGTTGTGTTTAAAAGTTTCGCGGTGCGGACCCGTGTGAGGCACCGACCGCTGAGTCAGCGCTTCTGCGGCGGCGGCAAAGGGTGCGAATGGTCGTGTCGGAGCTGCCACGTAAGTAGGTGGTAGGTGAGAGGGTCAGGTTCTCAAACTTTGGGATGCGGCTTGTTCCGTACCCTTAGTTTGTCAGGATTGTTTGGACATCAGGAAGAATTTATTCACAGAAGGGGTGATTAGACATTGCCGTAGGCTGCCCAGGGAGGTGGCGGAGTCACCGTCCCTGAAAGTGTTTAAGGAAAGACTGGACGTGGCGCTCTAGTTTTAGTTGACACGGTGGTGTTGGGCCATAGGTTGGACTCGATGATCTTTTCCAAAATAATTGACTCTGTGATCGTGGTTCTACTTCTGAGGTCTCTTTCTCCTCTGCTTTATGGGAAGGATTATGTGGGTTAGGAGTTTAGGATTATTTCCTTGTCTGAGTGTACCTGACAATGTCAAAGTGGCTTTATTTGTTGTGTTCTGTAGTGCTTTACTTTTTTACACGGATTTCTGAAGTGTGCTGTAGGGTGGAAGAATTAAGGCTCCTGCCTGCATAATGCAGCTGTCACAACCCTCAGAACTGGGGACAAAAGATTGTCTGACACTATTACATACACTTGAAGCAAGCACAGAAGCTGTATCTTCACCCTATGTCAAGCAGGAGTGCAGCTTGCACCCACTTCCCAATTTTATGTTTTATGGAAGGCTGTCATGAGAGGCAGACATCCTTCCAATCCTATCAAGAAATGCCGTAATTAAGTTGGTACTGAAGGCTGGCAGGTGCAGGAGGGTAGGCTTCTTGTTACACTAGATCTGCTTACAATTTTTGGGAAGCTAGACTTCTTAAAAAATGGGAGTATCCTGAGCAAACCATAGTCACAGGCCACTTTCAAGCCCCTCTAAAAAATATTATGAGATATTGGCAGATAGATCTAAAATAATTACTGTCAGATCACAAACAGGATGACCAATTTGTTACAAAAGACTAGAACATATGCCACTTTCTAGGACTTTTCCAAATGTTGCCTTAGGATCGAGTACGATCATAACACAGAAATAAACAAGATATAATTGAGTATGTCTTGAGGAAAAAAAAAATACAGTGAAACAGGCTCTGGTTTCCATCATCTGAGGTTTCCTGTGCATGGGAGAAAATGAAACCAGACATGTGCTAATTCCTATCTGTGAACTCAGCGAATGCTGACGTGTGTGAGGAATTGGACAGCTCTTGTGAAGGTGGAGTAAGAGGAATGGCCATTCAGCTGACTTTTACCTGTCTATGGCCAGCTTTCTCCATGTTCCTCTTTTCCATGAGTTCTTCCAGTCCTTGTTTGCAGAGAGGGCTGTGAAGGAGTGTAAGGGGAAATCGATAAAGATGAGGCAGAATTGGATGCTAACTAGGGGAAACATAAGAACAGTGCAAGCATGGAGTGGTGCTTCCACGGTGTACTCTTGCTGTTGGTGATCGTTTTGGGGTCAGTGGTTTGGTTTTAATAACCCTGGTAGTTTTTCTGTGGATTTTTCCAGTTGCCTCTTGAATCCATATGACATTGTAGCATTGACGACAGCTTGTGACAAGGCTCGTGACGTTTTGTGAAGAACACCCCGTGGTACCTGTGAGCCAAACACCTGCTGGTTGGATTTGGTAGTCTTCAGTTCTGTCGTGGAATGAGACAGTGAACCTGATCCCTGTTCGTTTCCCTGTGCCTGTAAGAGATTTATAGACCATTTGTAGTGGAAATGCAGTCTTCTGTCATCTTCAGGTGGTTGAGGCATACAGAATTTTTGAACAAAAACGTATGAAATTTGTAACAATTTGGTGAATTACTTCATGCAGTTTTGAATAATGTTTAAAAAAGATATTTAAAGGCAGTTCCGAAAGCACTACCGTATCTTTAATGTTCATTCTTCAATCTCTACCTATGTAAGTCTATATCAAATTTACCACTTGACTCCTTCTGTAAAGCTGTGCTGTTTTGAGAGTTGGGTAAAGCAGCTCTTTCATTGTGAAGATTTAGTAAACTTTTTTCTTATGTTAATACATTTTCAAGTAAGGCTGAATGTTCTGTTACAGTATGTGTATTATAGATCTCTTGACATATGTGTGATCTTGCAACCAAAGTGATTTTCTTTTATTGGCATCATTCTTTAGCTAGTTTTCTGATTTTGCTGTTAGGAAGCTGAGGAAAAAGTACATATTTTCACAGGGTGGGTTTTTAAGATGATGGTAACAAAACCTGACTGACTGGTGATCGTTCATCTAAACACAATTTTTACCTTACGTGATTTTGTAGAATATAAGAGAATATATTAAGGTTTCAGGGGAGGCTTATCTCCTGTTAGAGAGCCTAATTTCTCTAAATGTAAATAGGAGTCTTTAAGAAAGTTTTGTTCTAGATTTATGCAAATATTTATTTACATACAGAATAGACATAAAAATTGAAATAATACCTCTCAAGATGTCTTTGTCCATTGTCTGTGCATACATGCTGTGGTTAGTGGTATGTATGTTCTTTGTCCTTAGGAGTTATAGGAGCAAAACAACTATGGTGAGATGGAATATTGAAAATCTTAAGGCTTTGGAAATACAGCTGTGGTTGTGTTGTGTTGTGTTATCTTCCCAAAGTGTCCTGATCAGAGGATATTATAGAATAGTTAAACATAGAGTATGAGGTGAGTGGTGGGATCAGAGTCAAAGGTTGTGTTACCCTGAGTTACTTGTGTACTGTGCAGACAACGTTTTCCCATTTTAAGTGGCTGAAATGATGGGACTTCCTGAGCTTCACTTAAAGAACGCAGAAACATTTTAATATCTCTATTATTCTAGTTTTCTTTTTCTTTGAGTACGTTGTGAGTAACCTCCCTTGGGTATGTTCAGGCATTTCCAATAAGCATGTCCTCACAAAAAGCTGAAGAATGTTGTGAGCCGGTAAATGCATTTATTAACTTTTTCTTTTTGTTCTTATCTCATCAGATAGCTCAACATGAACTTTAACCGTCGAGATCATTTAAAAAGTGAACAGAACAGTATTTTTTCTTCTGAGAGCTGGCTACAGGATTCAGAGTTTCTCCTGCAGTGCAGTCATATTCACTACCTTTTCCTGAAACAGGACATGGAGCTTTGTTTCTTTCTTCACGTTAGGTGCTAACAAAGTTATTTGTTTCATCAGAGGAAATGCAGATCCATGAAATTACATTTTGTGCAAGTAAGTTAATGAGGGGGTATTTAAACTTGGCTATCACATCGTTGTTCTTTTGTGTATATTGATATAGCTCCCAGAAGTCCCTGTTAGGATTGAGCTCCAAGTGGTAGAGATGGTTATTGTCAGAGAACCATTACAGTTTAAAGCTCCTCTGCAATTTTGTCATGCTCTTGAGCTGCTGCCTTGGTTATATGGGCAGCAGCATAGCTAAGAAAATGGGTCTGTGTGCATTCCATGTGAATTGTCCTTCTGGGAGTACGTGCATGAACTCAAGAGATAGTGAAAAGTTTCTAGAACTGCGAGTTTAGCTTCTTTCCTGCTTTATACCCAGCAGGCTGATCTAGAGCAAGTCCTGAAGTTGTAGTTGTTTTTTGGTTTTGTGTCCAGATGATCAAAGTACTTGGTACAGGAGGGAATTCTCTTGTGAAGTGCTGAAATAACAAGTGCACCTAATAAAAGCCCAGAGGTATTCAGCAGACAACAACGGCTTCCACTGCTTTTATGACTTTGGGGAAAGTCTGATATGCTGTTCAAGTAAAATAAGAGGGTATTAATTTTGATTCAGCTAATGTGATGCATCTCAAAGGAGGTTGAAGTTGATGAAGCTGAATTTCTTAAACTGAAAATGACAACACATTTTCAGTGCTTTCATTATTATATGCCTCTTTCTCTCTGAAGAGTAAATAACCTTGAAAAACCTGAATATTGTTGATTATTCATTAAGTGTCCTACTTAACCTTTGGGTAGTGGGAAATAGAGATGGTGAGAGTTCAGGGAAAAAATAGCTGTTTCCTCTTTTATGAAGAGGGAGTGTTATTTGGGGAAAATTTGGATTCCTGACTTTTGAGAATACAGTCCTTCAGTCACTGAGGCTTGTAAAGCACCCTTAACGTCATAGTTTGAAAGGTGCTGTAAACATGTCAGTATTGCACACAAAAGCATATTTCAGCTGTATTCAGAAATCTGTTTCCTTTTGCAGTTTGTGACTGTATGGATCTTGGGTACCATCATCTGAGGGAGGCAAAAATATTTTTTCATAGTCTCTGAAGTGATAGGTGCAGTACATGGTAGGAGGCTGCAGAGCAGTGTTAAGAGCTGAGGAAGTGTTTGCTTTTGGCTTCATATAAATTCTAGCAGTTCGCCCACTTGTGTACTGATACTTAGCAGATAAATAATCCTTCCTTTAATGCTTGTCATGCTGAACTTTCAAATGTTTTGATTTAATATAAGGATTGAAGAACTGCTTTGTGGTTCATGTAGACTAATAGGTCCTGTTCAGTTAGGACTCAAATCTGAGTTATAGTTGAAAATCCTCACTATGCCCTGTTTGAAGCCTGAACCCAGTACACAGCTTGAGAATTTTGATTAATCGCAGTTGACTCCGTTGTTTCTGCTTTTACCTTAATTCTGATTGCTCCTGATCTGTGTTTTGTTGTAGGTTGTCGTTAACTCTGTTGGCAATGTCTATGATCTTGTCTGCCTCTGTGGTCCGTGTGAGGGATGGGCTCCCACTGTCTGCATCCACTGATTATGAGCAGAGCACGGGAATGCAAGAATGTAGAAAATATTTTAAAATGCTCGCAAAGAAACTTTCTCAGCTTCCTGATAGGTGTACTCTGAAAACTGGACAGTATAACATAAAGTAAGACTTCTCTTTTATGTATTTGCAACATCCTGTGTTGTGTCTGTCAGTTAAAAAATTAACAGTTCACCTTGGAAATGCTTAATCAAATTAAGATTAATTATTGGCAGTATTAATGTATCAGCAATTTAAAATTGATAAATTTAAATTTGAGAAACCTACTCAAACGTTGGTGGAAGTTCTTTTGTAAAGTCATGTAGTGATAGGACAAGGGAGAGTGGCTTTAAACTGAAAGAGGGCAGGTTTGGATTGGATATTAGGGGGAATTCCTTTATTGCAAGGATGGTGAGGTGTGGCACAGGTTGCCCTGAGAAGCTGTGGGTGCTCCATCCCTAGAAGTGTTCAAGGCCAGGCTGGATGGGGCTTTAAGCAACATTGTCTAGTGGAGGTTGGAACTGAATCTTTAAGATCCCTTCCAAAGAAGCCATTCTATGAGTCTAGTGTGAAATAGGCAGTATTTTTATAAGCATTGAAGTCCTTCACCTAGTATAGATATTTCTTTTCATTTCAAGGTTGGTTCTTACATGAAAATGACCAGACTTTTTGTGGTCCTGCTACTTCAACCAGTACTCCTTTCTTTTCTTTTTTCAGTCTATCTTTTGAAAGGTGCCCAAATACTTTCATAACCAGTAGTTCTGTGATATCTCGTTAGGATGTTTAGATTAGACACTTTTCTTGTACCTTCAGGCTTTCTGTTGGATTCAGAGAAACATGTGCTGAAAACCAAGCATAACTCAATAATTATTTCACAGTGTGAAACTTGGATTATGGTGAAATAATTCTTTGAATCTGTTGTTTACTCAGAATTTTGCTTTGTATGTGATCCTTCTCCTTAGTGTTGGTAGCAAGGTGTGTAGTTGGTAGTTCACTTGCACTTTAGCTGAGCTAAATTCTGATTCGGATTAGATCTTTTAATCAAGTGAGTAGTTTCATCCTAAGACCTAGTAACCATGTGAAAGTTACAGTGGTGGAAAGTATACCACATGAATGATCCTAGAAGGTGCTCATCCCTCTCCTTCTCCCATTGGGATATGTGAGTTTCCAGCTTTTCTTGGGATTAGGCCCAGGACGGACTAAATTGTTCCAGTCAATTTTTTTTTTTAAAGACCTCAGCTGTAGTTGGCTTGTGAACTGATTAGCTTAAAAGAAACTTCTAAGAATGAGATATAAGGCTTAGTCAGGATAGTTTTTATTGTTTCTGTCTTTGATTGCTTTTAATAGTGTAAGTTATATGTCAAGACCTAGAAGAAATTTGAATGTGTCATGAAAACCTGAACTCTAATGAATTGCCTAAATGCAGCAGGGAATATGTATGTTGAAAACTGAGATGGGTGAAAAGCTATTGCAAGACAAACTTGCTGTGGTTCTGTATCCCAAAAGCTTTGTTGTTTTCTGTTTCATGGATGTGTGTATATATGTATGCACACACATATATGTGTAATACAGCTTCTCATATGATTGTACAATGTGGTGTCAAAGTAAAACATAGCCTAAAAGTAAATTGTTTTTCTTCCAGAATAGTGTTGGAGTTTTCAGTAAACATTAATTCCTTTGCTACCCCAGATAAAGTTTTGTTTTTCTGATTTTTCTGTAGAATATGAGATCAGACCAGAGAAGCAGCTAATTCACTGGATTTGAAATATATTTTCTCAATTCTAGCTTTATAAGTTCCCTGGGAGTAAGCTATATGATGTTGTGCACTGAAAATTATCCCAGTGTCCTGGCTTTCTGCTTCCTGGATGAGCTTCAGAAAGAGTTCATCACTACCTACAATATGATGAAGACAAATACTGCAATCAGACCATACTGTTTTATAGAGTTTGGTAAGGTTCTGACTTTTTTTTCCTCTTTATTCTCACACTGAGACAAATGAGTATTTAAATAGATGTGCAACTTAATGCACATAAAACAAAAATGTCCAGGCAGTTTATAGCTGTATTTTAGGCAGATTTACAATCTGAATTAACTCCTGTTAGAATCAACAAAGAAATACTTCTGTATTAAAAAAGCATTAAATTAGGCTTACTAGAGTTTTATCGAAACTTTTTTGTAATCTTTCCGTTCATTCCAGTAAGTTTTGATTTGAGCCTTGTGTGACCAACTCTGGAGTTTACCTTCTCCTAGTTAATAATACTGGGAGTTGTTTGACTTCATACCTGTTGAAATACTTAACCTATGAAGTCATGGAGCTTACTCTTAGCTGTGCTGTAACTTTTGTTCAGTACATGAAAGGGAGACATTTTTATTTATCCTACGATGTAGTGAAGCATTTAATCTTCTGTCATGAAAACTCCAAATGCAGCTCATCTCATATATACCAGATAACAGCTGTTACAAATTCCATTAACTTATATTGCTTTAATGCTATATATTAGGCAGTTATTTTAGATATTTTTATAAAACACATTAGAGCAAAAAGAACAGCAGTTTGAGAAATACAGGGGCAGATATTCCAGTTGGTTAATTCCTGTCTATAATTCAGTCAGTCATTTATTAGCAATTTCTGTATAACATTATTGTCTTCTTGTGAAAATTTCTATGACCGCTTTTTTTTCCCCCAACACCTTTGTTCTACTAGTTGTTAAGTTAGAATTTAAGTCTGTTACAGCTTAAATATATATTTATTTTCTTCTGAATATTTTGCAAGCACGTTTCGTACTCAAGTACATTCACACTTGAATGCAGGAGTTAATTTTTTCATAATGATATTTACTAAACTAAGAGAAAAGCTGGAATAAATGCAGTAAACCCATTGTATTAGAAATGCATTCAGTCTCATGCAGTGAAAACTCATTAGCTTATTCATAGTTACTAAGTAATTAGATTTCTAGAGCTTAGATTTTTTTTAACTGCAGAATTAAATAACTCTTGATGTATTAGGCACCAAACAGAAATAGTGTTAAAAATTCAAGATAAATGCAAATATTTCAAAGAATGTTTCAATTTGTGAAGTGTGTAGTACACAGAGCTGCATGATCTTGGATTATTTAACTAACAAAAGTCCATAAAAATATACCTTTTTATTTTAAATTTTACACAGATAATTTCATTCAGAGGACCAAACAGAGATACAACAACACACGTTCTTTGTCAACAAAGATGAATCTTGCTGACATGCAGACAGAGATCAAACTGAGACCACCCTACCAAATTTCCGTGTCAGAACTTGGCTCAGCGAATGGCTTTGCACATATATCTGTGGGGGAGTATAAGGGTACTGGTAAGATATCTGCAGGTAAGTTCCACACTTCTGGTTTTGTATCCTTAAATGAGACAGAGTAGTAGAATTCATTTTTGTGTTTTTTTTTTTTTCTTTAAAAAAGAAGCTTTTTCATGGCTCTAAAGCATAAAGCTGCCATGACCTTATGTGCATTTGAGCTTAGATGTCTGTTTTGTCCCCTGCTCAAAGTGCACATCTTCCCAAGGCACTCAGAGGGAGAAATGGATCTGTTCAATGGACTGCTGTATTGAAGGGAAAAAAATACTGCAAATGAAGATGGGCACTTAACAAGAAGATGATCTTTCTTTTTCTGACCTTTCAAGATTTCTGAAAATTTTTATTATTTCTTCCCAGTAAGACTTAGTGATTACATAAGCTGAGAGCACAGTGTCAGGAGTTAGAGCAGCTGGAGGGAGGAGCATCACTTTAGGAAGCATCTGCCATGGTGAAAATCCAAAGAGCTGTGCTGGCTAAAAGATGCATTTGCTAAAATGAGTGCTTTGTGTACAGTGTTAAGAATTGCAATTTTGTATAAAATTGACACATTCATTTAAGTAGTCATTAATTTTTTAAAACTTTAATTTGCTTCATGTTGGAGGTAAATATGGAATTGTGTGGTTGACCTGGGTTAAAGGTTTGTGCTGTTAAGAGAGTTTGAGGCCCACCTTCATATGTTTCTCAGCAGGACAGAAACTTAAAAACTTGCCAAATCCTTGCACTAATATGTGAACTCCACATGTGAACCTGACATCATCTGATTTCAGTCTTCCAAGTTTAGTGAAGCAAAATCATAAATAGAATGGAAGGAAGTGTTGATTTTAATTAGTTAATATCTTTTCCTTTTTTTCCCCCCAAAGTCCCTCTGTCTGTAAATTATTCTGCCTGATGCTTTACAGTGTCAGGCTGCAATCATAAATCCTTGGGATCGCAATCATAAATCTAAATACTTCCTACAGTTTTGTAATAAAAGAGATTAGCTTAATTTTGTGCAGTTTATATATATATATATGTGTTAATAGGATCTCTTGGCCAGTGCATTATCTTTATTACGTACTTACTCGTAAGGATTACTCTAGGAGATTGAACACTGCTTTCTACTGAAGTGAAAACCAAACAAAATCACTGGGGCACTCTGGGGCCCGGATTCTGAGAATTCCAGGTGCTCTGAGACAGTGTAGAAATAGTTTACAATCTCTGTATTTGCAGTTTAACAGTATTAGAGTTAGATTCTGGAAAAGGAATAAAGAAAAAGTGTAAAGATGTTTGAAGTGTATAAAAGAGTGAAATCTTCTAAGCACTACTGTGCAGACCTTTAATCATCTCCTACTTACATGTGTGGGTTGTTTTTAAAGGTATGATGCTGTGATACCATCCTTCTACCACTTATTGTTGTTTACTCTTACTGTTCTGGTGCAATCCTGGCCTGTGGATTTTGGTGGCAGAAGTGGCAACTGGTTGTCCAGATTCGAATTTCCTGCAATTGGGAGAAGAAAAAGCAATAAGCATGAGAGAACTTGACCTATGTCAGAGTTGGATGTTTTTTTAAAAGTTGTACATGTAGTGGGAGATGAGTTTTTTATCGCTTTTTTGAGTAAAAGTGCTGGAAGATCATATGGGCCTAAGTTAAAATGCATAGGGACCATTTCCCTTTTTACTATAAAGGAAGATTCAACAGTAATTGGCAGATGACCTTCTAATTTTTTTCACCTACCTCTCCCAAACTTCTTACAGAAGCAGTTCTGTTGTCCTCTCTTCTTTCCATATTGATTTTCTTCTGTTTCTCTTTGAGTTACTTTAAACTTTCTTCTTCCTGTGAATTCCACAGATCTCTGTTCAGTTTTCCACTTCCTTCCTTGAGTTGCTGTAGAAACTCACCATCAAAGAGCTGCACCTTATGAGAAGTTTGCACTTTGCTCCTTCTTCAGCTCCTCACATTTTAGATGGCATTGAATAACAGTGTCTATTTTAGCGAGTCTGCTAATAGTTTTGTAATCCTTTACATTCATCACTTCCCTCCACCCTTGAAAAGAACTTTCTCTGGATGTTTGCTGCCCACTCAGTTGGCTAGACTTCAAAGCTTCTCCTTTGCTCTAAGGACAAATTCTCACAAAAAGATATGGTTTGCCTAGTGTAATTTCCTGAATATGCTGTCCTGTTAAAAAGTCGGACTTGCTGTAAGTGCATCAAGTGTGTTAAATCAGGCTGGAGAGCGTGCAGAGGTGGGGAGTTGGGTGCAGGCTAACCTTGTTTTGTTATGCAGCAGGGCAGAGTTGGATGCATTAGTTTTGGCCGTGCTGGGGAAGCGCTGACTGTTACTTGGAGTTTAATTGCTCCCGTAGCCACAGTGTAGTGCCCAGGCCTCCTGTGTTGGGAAAGTAATTGAAAATAGGAGCGCTTTTCCTTCAGAGAAAGTTGTGCTGTGTAGTGAGAAATAGGGGTAATTGTGGATGTGTGAAGCATAAAGTGCTTAGATTATAGATGGAATTTTGCTTCAGAGGTGAAGGCAGGTGTTGGCAGGCATTAGAAATAGGGTGACAGCATGCTGATGTGTGATGTTTTAGGTTAGGATAAATTTATTATTTGAGCTTTTTTTCAAAGAAGGAACAGTTGTCAAATTGAAATTATTTTTTGCCTGATTGTATGCTCCAAGTTTTGGGGGTTTTTGATATTTTAGTTTTAAATAAACATCCTTACAAGTAGTGCAGTTTCTCATATTGTGTCAATTTTCTGAATTTTTATTTAAATGTCAGCATTAAATTCAAAATTTGTGCTTTATTTCAACTGAGGATTTTTGATATGGTACTTATCATATTTCTAAGATTGACTGATGTACCAACTAAAATTCAGCTGGCCTTTACCCTGCATTCTCTGACATCCGTTTTTCATTCTTTTGGTTTTGCCTTCATCTTTTAGTGTATAAATGACTCTTGTTGCTTTGATTGTAGCACTAAAATCCGTTAAACCCTGGAGAGTTAATTGACATCGGTAGTGGTATGCAATGTCCTTCAAGTTTTTTGGATTTGCTTTTGTATTTTAATAAGAGAGAAAAATTAGTACTATATGATCCCTCACAGACCGTCTTGATTTAGTTGATGAGACTCTACTTTCCCCCATGGTTCTCAAAGAGGTGTTTTTAAATGCTGTTTTAACACACAATGATTTTAAGTTACACAGGACAAGGGGAAAATGAGATTGTCTGGAGAACTGTGAGTGGAGAGCAGTGAACTAATTTTATCCATCAGTTAGTGAAATGGAATTAGTTTTGGCTAAAAACAGTCACATACACCCTCAGTTTTTTGCCACTCTCTAGATGAGATGGTTTAAAAAAGCCAAAACAAAACAACCAGTTAGGAATCATTGAAAAAGAGTGGTTTGGTATGCAAATAGCATATCTAACCCTAACTGAGTGATTGCTGGGAGTAATGTGCCCTACAGTTAGAAGAGCAATGAGCTCTCAAAGTTAAACATGGGTTATGCTTTTGTTTAAAAAAACCCCAACTGATTACACTATTAAATTCAGCACAAATGAATTAACTGAACTCATCCTGTGTTTTATTTTTGTGTTATCGTACACTCATAATTAGACAGCCCTGCCTGCTTATCAGTGTGAAATAGCTTTTGTTGTTTTTTTCTTTAGGTCCTGTAACTTCAAAAACTGTTTGAAAAACCTTTTTCCTGAGTCTGTGCAATGCAAACAACTGGGATTGACACCCCTCTCTCTATTAATGTTACAGTTCATTAACCTCATTGTTCACATCTTTACACTTGGTTGATTTGAACAGAATTATTAGAGTACAGCTCAGTAGTCACATTGTTTTCCCAGTGTCACCCAGACTGTTAAGAGTTTTGCATTGTTTTTTCACATTTGCTTTCTGTTATTAATTATGAAAAAGGGAAAGGGACAGTAATGAGGAACATACACAACTGTTACATACTTGTGACCTTAGATAAGCCTGAAGGAGTGGTTGTGTTTGGAAAGAAAGGCTGTTTTAATTTTAATGTGGTTTATAAGAGACTTCTAAGCACTATCTGGAAGGTCTGTATAAAGTCATGATATAGATACTGGTTTAGTTTCAGAGCTGTCTTTTTATGTCTTTGGTAGCACTCAGTTGGCCGTATTTTTTAAGGAGGGGGTCTGTGATAGCTTTGCCTCAAAGTGTTCTGTTCAGCAAACAAGCTAAATCAGTCTCAATATCTCACTAATGTATTTGTGTTAAAGAATGTTAAAGAGTGCAGGCTGCGAGAGAAGCTCTTAAGTACGTGACTTATTAGCTGGTTACTAATTGTGGACGGATTTCACTAGCGAGTGCATCTTTTACTGTTGATTTCCTGGCGTGTTTGAGCAGCTGTCAGTACCATACTGAATAAATGGAATGCATTGAAATAAAGACTAAATATAGCACGACAATTATATATGTGAACTGAAGGAAAGTTTACTTTTTGTTAAACCTTGTGCCGAAATATTTAAAATGTTTCTTCTTCTTTCTAGAAAAAAAAATGACATTTTGTGGTTTGCATTGAGCTAGATCTCTTTTGTGGATCTCTTGAGCTAGAAGCCACAGAAAAAGGCGATCACTCTTTTACTGAATTTCTAAAGGCATTGCTTTGACCTTCGTTATCTTTTTTTGATCTTCTGCGTTGCAGCTCCTCATCAGCGTCTGGAACCTGTGACTCTGCCAGGGATTGTCTCATTCGTGCTTAGTCTGTTATGTGGAGCTTTGAATTTAATTCGTGGCTTTCATGCCATTGAAAGCCTTCTCCAGGTATTGTACATTTTGTGAGTTTAAAAGTTATGCACCATAGCAATCATAATTATCACCTTAGAAGATGCTATGTGAGTTAAGTCTCACCAGTTTTATTTTCAGAAATACTGTTTGTGAGGTCAGGCCTCTGTTCATGAAACCTGTATTGTTTGTGACCAGAGCATCCTTTCTGAGTGTGATGCCTCATTCATTGAGGCTGTGAGTTTCGACAGCAGTAGAAAGTGGGTGGCCAGCTCCTTCCTTGGTACCTTGGTAGCAGTGAGTATGTGAACATAATGTTCTGTTTTCTAAATTTATTCCAGGGTATGAGGCGTTCAATTTCTATAGATGCTATTTAAAAGCATTTCAGTGAAATGATGAACAGCTTTGAAAATCTGGCCAGTTTTTTTTTTTTTAAAGTCCACAGAGCATGCATCTTTAAACAGGTTTTGTAAAAATTTTTTTGTAAACTTTTGTTTTGTTTTGTTTGTATTTAATACACCTTCTTAGTGGTAGGATGCTTATTTCTCTTTGTATGCTGAAAGGATCAATGTCAGCGAAAACTTTCAAGTGATTTCTTCTAAACTCCCCTCACCTCCTTAAACAACAACATCCCCCTCACCAAACAACCTCCCCTAAAAACATTTTTTTCTGTAAACTCTCTGACCTTCCCTGTAGCCTTTTAGTTTCTTTCTATTCCATTTCTTCTGCTGTTTGTATTCTCACTGCTACAATGTTGCTAATAGTGGATTTTAAGCAGTTCAGGTGAAATATGCTGGTAGTGCTTGCAGGCATGCACACAAAGTTCATGTGTGTTACCACAACAAAAAGGACTTCCTTGCCATTTAATGGATCTCTTGTGGTAGTAGACATAGAAACTAAAAAGCCCATGGAATTTTTCTGAAAGAAAATGGTAATCTTCTAGCTTGGCTAATAGATAATCCTTTTATTCAAACATATACCTTTATAGACTTTATAGACTTTATAGAATCATAGAGCTTGGAAAAGAGCTGAGTCCAGCCATTAACCCAGCACTGCCAAGTTCACCACTAAACCATGTCCCAGAGTGCCACATCTACACAACTTTTGAATTCCTCCAGGAGTGGTGATTCAACCAGTTCCCTGGGCAGCCTGTTCCAGTGCTTGACAGCCCTTTCAGTGAAGAAGTTTTTCAAATATCTAACCTTCCCCTGGTGCAACTTCAGGCCATTTCCTCTCATCCTGTCCCTTGTTACCTGAGAGAAGAGACTGACACTCACCTTGCTACAGCCTCGGGTCAGGTAGTTGCAGAGAGTGATAAGTTCTCTCCTGAGCCTCCTTTTCTCCCAGCTAAAAAACTCCCAGTTCCATCAGCTGCCCCTCGTAAGTCTTGGTCTCTAAGCCTTTCACCAGCCAACTGCAATATTTTCTGATAATTAATGGATTTTTTTAGGGAAGTAAGGTAAAGAAGATGACCTGTATTCCACTTGTCTTATATAGCTGTTGGTCTGTGTAAAGATTTAATAAGCAGTAAGGTTTGACGTCTCAGCATTTCCTGAAGACTAATGGATAGATGAATAAGGTTAAAGAAAATGTTCCATGCTAGGTCCTTCTTTTTGAGTTGTTTTTGGTTTATTTTCTTAAAGAAAGACCAAGAATGAAATAGTGAACAAATATCTACTAATTAGATTTTTTTGTGTTATGTACAATTCTCTCAGTTTATAAATAGGAATGAATTCAAAGTATGCTGTAGTACAAATAGCACTGAACAGATTTCTACCACTTACTGTGATGTTTCTAAACTTATTTTGTTTCTTTCCACAACTGATTTTTTTTTAAAGGAATGCCAATGTTAGATTAACCTATGTAAGTGATGCCAGGGCAGCCAGTTAATTTTATTCTATATGCTATTGCATCTGGAGGTAATAGATGGCAGTACAGATGGAAGATAATTTTCATTTCTGACAAATGAGGCACACTAAAAATCCATTAAAATTTCTCTTAATTTACTTTATTATGAAGAAAGACACAGAGTTTAGGGAGAAATAATCCAAAGCATGATTAATTGAATGTGTTCTGAAAAGTCATTCAAAATCATCTCTCTGAATTACTGTTTCCTTTATAATCAGTGTTTTTGTTTGGGTGTTAGTGAAACTGCTGCCATCTGTAGCTGTACCCCAGCAAATACGCAGTGACACCGAGGCAAAGACTTACACATGGCGTAAAGTTACTGCATTTTGTAGGTGATTTTTATGTGCAGATATACAAAGTTTTTCCTGGTCAGCACTGGAGATGGAAATGCTCCACATTGAACATACACTGAGCAGACACAAGTTGTACTTGTGAATGGACCACCTTCTTCTCAAAATGATATTCACTCTCAGGGAAGAACATTTGCACGGGTACCCTTTGTTTTCCTGGGAAAGTTTTCGATTGTTGCAGATGTTTGTTGGAAATGCAGTTGGAATAGTCACTGAGCATGTAAATTTATTCTGTTCAGCTCTATAGAAACTATAACAACCCTTTTGAATAAGTTAGAAGGATTTGTTTGGGTTTTTAAACGGATAGTAGAAAGATCTGTCACTTCGAGTAAATTTTTCCATCTTTTCCTTGAAGAAAACTTAATTTTCTAATAGTCTCTCCGATAAATTCCTGTGCTGCCGTTTGCTGTCACGTTATTGAGCTGCCCACGTTATTCTCTGTGTAGAGTTTTACCCCACCCTAGTGGCCGCTTTGGGTTTTTTGCCTTTTACCTCGTTTCCATTTTGGGAGGCTGGAGGAAGGCACAGTTCTACAAAGTTGATATCAAAGCTAGTTACCAGTGTTTAGACTTGAATTTTCAAAGGCATCTGGAGAAGGTAAGTATCCAGTTTTAGACCTGGACTTCATTTAAGGCTTCTGAAAATCTCAGCATTAGTTGTCTGCTGTGAGTCAATGTTTTGGTCAGACTCCAGATCATGGTGTTTTTTTCCCAGACATAAAAGCAAGCACTGATTTGTCTTAACTCTTGGTTTTGTGTAGGGTAGGAATTATTATAAATCAATGTGTGAACATACAATAATTAATAACTTTCATACTGCAAATATCAGGTATTTAACTGAAACATTGTAAAATATGGCTTTTTGTTTTATTCTTACAGAATGAAGGTGAAGATTTCAGCTATGTTATTGCATTTTTTCTTGGAACGGCAGCCTGTTTGTACCAGGTGTGTTTTTCTGTTTGCATAATTCACTAGAGTTTAGAAACATTACCCAGTCATGCATAAATTGTCATCATGTTTTCTTAAATGTCACAGATCCTTGAATAGGGCAATTATAAAAAATAATTTCTGCTCTATTTTATTTCATTAATCATAAATTATCATACAGTAGATTGATACAAAATTGCTTCTGTTTGCTGGTATTTTTCTCCAGTTAGATAATTAAGGCATTTACTTTTGACTTTGGAGCTTACAATTTAGCTCCAAAGTCAAGAGCAGTGGGGGTTATATTATTTCTTGCAGCAGTGGTTTCATAGTTCAAGTAAACTTAACCATCTGAAAAATACCTTACTGCTTCTTCCCTTTGGGAAGATTGGAAGTAAATACAGTAATACCAAGGCACTACACCCCAGGATTTTCCTCACTTTGTCATTAACATGCATTGCCTTCCTTTTCAAAGCTTTTGACCACTTTTCACTATATTTTCCTTTTCCTGTCTGATACTTCCCCTTGCTTTTCATTTCTGTAGGTTTTCCATTTCTGCATCTGAATTTGACTTTCCTGTAATTTATATCAAGGCATTCTGGTGCCTGTTGGCATCTGTCATTCAGTGACAGTGCTATTACATTAACCTATGTCTATAATGTCTCTCATGCTCAGTTGCTGTTATTATGATAATTTTGACTTTTATTCTCTTGTGGACTATGCAATTTCTACTTGTTTCTCTGTGCCAATGTTTAGTACAGAGTCAGGCAGCCAAATAAAATAATGTCTCAGGATTTTGCTTTTATATCAGCCTCTATATCAGTCAGCCTTTTGTCCAGGTTACCTGTAATCTCCATTCTCTACAACTCGTCTCTACCAAAATGTCACAGTACAACTTGTGTTCCTCACCACTTGTTGACTTTCTGTCAACATCTGCCTTAAAGAATTCAGATTGGTCTTAATTTTACATTAGGTAAAGTCCCATATTTACATGGGACTTACATGGAATACGATGTTTTAGGCTCACTCATGTGAGGTGAAACCTGAGGCAAGAGACTTGAACAGATTTCTAGCTGCGGTAGGAGGAAGGCAGAGCAGGAAACTGAGGGCAGTCTTGACACTGTGTCACACCACAGCGTGCAGAAACAGACCCTTAAAATGTGGTAGGATTGTGTTTCTCTCCAAATGTGATCCATGTTGCAGCAGCTGGAGCAGGGGGGTGTTTGTGGACCTCTGCATCTACCAGTTAATCCTTGGCATTACCCCTGGCACAGCACTGGGAGGTGTCTGGGGGATTGCCTTGTGCTGAGCATTCATTCCCAGCTGCAGGGGCCTGGTATTTTCCGTCTTTTCCACTGCTTTGCCTGAAGAAGACTGAAGTGGCTCTTGTTCCTTTTCCACTGCTGGGGTGGAACTGAGAGTGTATTTTGACCAGAGATTGCCAGAAACATCCACTTTGTTTTGTCATTGTAGGTTGTAATCCATTATTATGGGAGAATTGTTCACAGAAAGGGTTTAATGGGAGCAAAATGTAACCTTGTATTGATGTCAGGTACTTTTCACCCTTCCACGACTGCTGAATTGATACTGTTCTTACATGCTTGATTTAGGTTTTCCTTGTTTTTGTCTGTAATTTCTCAGTGACCACATAGTGTTTCTGCATTGGAAGTTACTTGCCATGAGGTAATCTGATTTCTTTTTTATTTCCTGACAGTGTTACCTGTTTGTGTACTACACGGGCTGGAGGAATGCCAAATCCTTCCTGACCTTTGGGCTGATTTGCCTGTGTAACATGTATCTGTACGAACTGCGCAACCTGTGGCAGCTCTTCTTTCATGTGACTGTGGGAGCATTTTCTACCTTACAAATCCGACTGCGACAACCACAGGGAAAGTCCCCTGATTACAATGTCTGACAAGTCCTGGAACATTTAGAGGAAGTCTTGTTCCAGTAGTTTTTCACTCTCAGGAATGTAAAACTGTTCTCCAAAAGAAGAAGCTGTTTGGATGGGTTTTTTTGGTTTTTTTTAAAATAAATCAGTGTAAGATGCCTGTGGACATTTTTCACTTGATGGTTGAACTTTTTTTTAATTATTTTTTTTATTTTCTTGAAAAGGGCACAAAAGAGTAGGGACTAGAGGAGGAAAGTGGAGCATATCGTGGAGTGAAATGTATGTAGGGACACCAATTTTGAGGAATTTGACTTGGTGCATAAAAAAACTTCATTCAAAAGTATGTTAATGGAGGAATGTGTAGAGTATGTGTTCTGCATATCATGCAAGCTTTTCACTTCCAAAATCAGTTTTGCCTTTGTGAGGCAGTAGGGAATAGGCTAAATAAGTAATAATAATAATGCTATTGCATATTAGCAAACTAGATGTGGAATATGTAAGATACCAGATTTTGGAATGTTTTGTTTCATGTTGACATATATATGAATGTTTTCTTAATTAAAATGTAACCTGGAAACTCAGTTTCTGGGGATCAGCTTCACCCATGGCCCTCTGTCTAGTGCTGTAAGTTCTTTAATGTTTTTTCATTTATCATTTTCTTTTAATTATCATTTGAAAGTGATCTATGTAGACAGAGTTCCTTTTTAGTAATTATTCAGAAAGTTCTACCACTTAACCCAGGATTTTTGTGCACTTGTGTTTGGACTCTGGAAGGGTTGAAAGAAAACTGATTGGTGAGTAAATTGAGTGACTTGTACTTGCTGGACTATTGTTCTTTTTATATGTTTTTCATTACTTTCAGATATGGATAAATAATTAGCTCAAACCTGAGATAAAAACTGGTGACAGGAAAATAATAAATCAGTCTGTTTAGCTTAAACAAGAAAAGACCAAGGATTGTGTTTATTCTTCTGGCTTTATGGATTGGATGTTTTTGTGCTGGGATAAAACTTCCTTGATCTAGACTTGTGTTTCAGAGAACTGTTTTACGCTTCTGAAGTTGGTGAATCAACTAGCAAACCCCAAACATTTAAAAACAAAAAAGCAGCCATATAGGACCACCAGCAGTTACACTGTGGTTTTATTTTTATGTATGACGTAAAATTTTTATGTATGACAGTTATTTACGATGTTGAATAATGTACAAATAAATAGTTGTAGATTTTTATATACAGGTTGTAATCAAGTTTTAATGGCAGGGAGGTTGCCATGCTGGATTTGGGAATTGGCAGAGTTTTGCTATGCTATGAAATGTTGGTCCAGGCAAATTTCCTTCAGCATTTCTTTTAGTGTCAGATGATACGACCAAGCAGAAAGGAACTAGATATTTTCTTTTCAAGTAATTGTTATGAGTCAAGAAAATTGTGCATAACACAACCGAGAATTAGGGAATGAAATTGTAGTCGAAGTGAGCAGGTATGTCTCAGACTGATGTGTGAGTTGAAGCCCTTGAAGACACCTTGGTGCCCTGGTTCCACGGTTGGTGCTGGGGGTGACGTGCTTTGCAGTTAATTCTCTTCCCTCCCCACTTTGAGACACAGAAGAGGAACATGTTCAGGAACATGGTCTGCTTTTGTTTTGGGAATTCAGAAATAGGGGAAATGATAAAGAGGATGACTAGATTGAAGCATACAAGAATTGTAGGAAGTGTTTACACCACAAGTATTTTAAAAATCCACAAGAGCAGCGAGCAGCAAACAGCCTTTGTTTAGCAGAGAAGTTTGCCTGTATTATTAGCATTTGCTGCACCTTTCTGAATTCCAGACACCATAAAAGGTGAAGAGCAGTCCTTTACCATTTAAAATCAGTGATTGGAAGATAGAGCTATTCATGTTTTAAGCATAAAAACAGGTTTTATTTTGCTCACAGAGTCTAGCAGGGTCCTTATACCTATTTTTTCACCTCTATTGATAAGCAGGGAGGCAGTTATGAGTACCTGAAGTACTGCTTAGTTTTTAACTTGGGCTGTTGTTCACATCAATTTTTTGTTGCATCATTGCTTCAGTTTGTATGTTGGCAGAGAATCTTGTTTTCTCTGAGGCACCTTTCCTTCCTGCTATTCCTAAAGATACATTTTTAAGGAATGAAAACTTCCTTTGTCATAGCATCTGGAGCCATTATTCCATTCCAGTTATTATGGTGGTGTTAAATTAATTGCTGATTAGCAGGTACGGTGAACAAATGCAACTGTCAGTGTAATGGAAGACAGTTGGGGTTTTGTTTGCTTGTTTTTATGGCACTGATAAAAATTTCATTTCACAATGAAAAGTTAATGAGCATGACTGTTCTTCATTACCTGATATTACCAGGTGCTAAAAACATAGCTTTTTAGCATGTTTTAGTTTGACTGCAATATTAGAACTTGCTGACATTTTGTGTGAGATGAGAACCAAGATACAGCAGACCAAGTTGGAGGTGAAAATTTGCTGAAAATTCCCAGGATTTCCCATTTGATTTTACAAACTCAGCATTCAGAGAAATAGTAGAAGCTTCCCTGCTCATTTTACCAGATACTTGAGTTACTAGACTTATGAGGATGAACTTGTGAAAGATGACAACTCTCTTGAACAACATGCTTTATTTAGTTTGAATTGCAGAAGGCCGTTGGTAGTCACTCAGTTTTTCTGTGAGATTTAGTAGAAGCAGAGCCCATTTCTTGCTGTATTTATAAAGGAAATACTTCTCTTTGAGGTTGGAATGGGTTCATCCAACACCCACAATAACATATTTTTCTTTGAATAAGGTGTCAGTGTTTATATTTACTTTCAGGAAGGAATGACAAAAAGACTGACGTCCCCAAGGTATATAGAATGCTGTTTGAGGTTTGATTACCTCAGAGTCTTGAGCTTCTAGGATTTAATCACATTTTTCCTTGTGTATTTTTCTGGGATTTTTCATTGTGTTTTGCTCTCTTGTATTCAATGTCTGGACCAATAGCTGGGGATAAAAACTTGTCTCATTTGGGAATTGTCAGATTTTGCTAGTAAATAACTTTTCAGGCCCTGGAAAAGTCTGTAGGCTCCTTCTCCTTTCACACTGTTTCATGTAAAACACACACGTGTTTGAGGTATATAAGAAAATACCCAGAGAAGGGGAGACTGAGGTGCAGAAAAGAATGCAGCATTCCACGAGGGAATATATCTATGTGTTACTTAGATTGATTTTTAGCTATATCAAAGCTAGCAGAGAACTAGATGATGATGGTAACTGGTTTCCTTTGCAGACATCGTGATTACTTAACAGTCACCGTGGACTATTTAACATATTGATACTCTTCTTATCATTAGGACTGAGGAGCATCTGTTTAGGGATATTACTTTTCCTGCTTTTCATTTCCCATTTTCATTGCAACTACTATGTTATGATTCTTTTTTGCTTTCTTGGTTTGTTTTGCAAAAAGAAGCCCGTTGATATTTTCAAACACTAAGCACATGCTATTTTAAATCAGCTTTTTGTCAGAATAAATAGCATTCTAGATAGATGTCACAGCTTGCAGAAGTCCATGCTTTCAGAATGGTGTTAATATACAGGGATGAATTGCAGGAGGGGTTTTCCCTGATGTGGGGTAATTGATGAGAAGGGTGTGGCAGTAGGAGATCTGCATCAGTGGCAGTTTCATCCCTGTGTTGACAAGAGTCCAGATGATCTCTCAAGAGGAGTCTGAGGATCGCTCAACCATCTAGCTGCACGTGTACTTCCAGTCACTGACTTCCAGTCACTTCCATAGCTGGTCAGATATTCCAGGTACTATTTATTTTGGCAAGGCCTAATGATCTCACAGTGTCTGGACCAGCTTCTTTTACTTAACAAAATTGTGGTTCATCAGTTTTATTGATCAAAATGTTTGCTAATGAACGTTATGGAGCACTTACTGGTACAGCCCTATTTGCTCTCCTGACTGTATAGAGCTGTGCAGAAGTTGTTCAGAGCATTTACAGAATATTTGTTTTTCTGGATAACATTTCCTTCTTCCTTCCTCAGAGGCAAAGCCTCCTGAGACAGGTAGGTGACAAGTACATGTTCAGAAGGTTTAAGGAACGTGTAGTGGGGGCAGCACAGGCCCTGTATGATCTGGCACTGGTATGGGCTTCAGAGCTACCAGCTCAGCTGGGCTTCCAGCTCAGCTTGCACTGGGAACGTGTGAGACCACTGTAGGATTGTCCCACTAACCTGTACACTGAGCACACCAGAGTTTTCAAGCACCGGGCAACACTCCAAAGCAAAGGAGACCGTGCTCTGTGTCTTGTGCTGGAGCTGCTGTGGAAATGCCATGAGAGAGGGCAGAGGAGCAGCAGCAGGTATGGAAGGACCTTGTTTGCACAACTGACTGTTGTGCTGCCAGGGTGGTGGTGGGGAGTTGGATGATGACACTCACACCCTGGGATGACTGTTTTTTGCTTATCTATAAGTTGGCATTTGATAGTTTGTGAATAATCAATTACTTTGGAAGGAATGGGCTGTAGGTTGTGATGTGCTCTCCCTTTCCCCATGGTGGAGGGGTTTTGTGTCTCAGCCTGATCCTACATTGCCTGGTTGAGGCTCCACAAGTCTGTTTCCAGTAGATGGCAATAGTTATTTGCATCTGAAATTCTGTGTTGAAAGAAAAGATCTCAGCTGCTTACAGGGAAGTTCTCTCTCTCAAGCCGGTCTCCTGTGGAGCTTTTTATTGAAATGCCTGTGCTGTGCTGCAGCAGCAGCACCTCTGAGCATGTCAGTGCTGGACTCACCACTGCTGCAGCTCCCACCTGGCACCCACTGCCTGCTTTCCCAGCAGGAGCCAAGGGGACAGGGCTGGCACCAACAGCACGGCCGCCTCACCAGCTGCACCCAAGGACCAGGGCAGAGCAGGACGGGGGGACTGAGAAGTGCTCAGGACAGAAATTAAAAAATATAACCCTGCTTTTTACAGAAAGCTATCTGGCTGCCAGATGGCAGGAAAATGCTGCTGCTGCTGCCCCCCATCCTTCCTGAAATTCAATTTTCTTACTTCTCCCTCCCCCACTCCCCAAGGCCTTCTTGCCCCTTCAATTGAAAAGCCTTGGGCAGAGTGGGTCAAGAGCATAGAAATTGTTTTTCAGCTTAAATCAGCTGAGCTGCCCTTTTCCTCTGTCTCCAGGCCCTGCCCCAAACTTCAGTCTAGAAGTGATGGTGCCCTGAGGAGCAGCTGGGAAACTTAATAGAAGGAAATTATTTGCCTCTGGGCATAGTTTTGGCCAGATGATGCTGTCCATGTTTGTGTTAACGCACAAACAGCAAGGCCGGGGATCTTTGCAGAGTTGGACACACGTGTAACAAATTTGTTGCATCCTAAATGTGTCTTTTTTTTATGTGCAGGCAGATACTCACAGCCAGCTCTGTGCTGGGGTGATGGGGGGCCCTTTGGATCACCCTGGAACTTTGCATTGCCTAGTTACAGACTCCAAAGGGCTAGGCTGCACCAGCAAACATCCCTTGGGTCCTTCTTGTGCACCCACTTGCCTTGGAATGTTAGTCTCAGGAGAGCTGACAAAGCCTCACTGTGGCACTGTGGTTAAATATGCTGGTATAACTGAATACCTTAAATCTGTGTGTGCATGCCCTATTAAAAAAAAACAAAAAACAAAACAAACAGCTTGTATTTTAAAAAAGTTTTTAAAAGTACATCACCTCTGCCAAAGAATTCCCCAGGTAGGCACCTTGGTGCTGGTCCTCTCAAAGACAACTGGAAGGAGGCAGCAGTGCCTGCCAATGCAACATTTTCAACCTTTACAGGTAAAAGCAAATGCTACAAGTAACTGTACCGATTAACAGAAGCCTGAAGTGTAACTGAGAAACAAAACCCTGCAGCTTTCAGCTGACTTTTTTTCCTTGAGAAGACATTACACAGGCAACTAAGAACCAAATTACTT